ACCTTCCAACAAACCTGCCAAAAACCCTCCTCGCGAATAATCCAGATTCCTGCAACCTTCAAACAGGCCGTTTCAAACTCCTTCCTTGCGAATAAACCCAGGTTTCCTGGAACCTTACAAGAAACCTTCCAAACACCCTCTTCACGAAGAATCCAAGGCTCCTGGGGCCTTCCCCAACAACTTCCAAGAACCCTCCCCACGAAAACCCCAGGATTCCTGGGACCTTCCAGACCAACAACATAAAATAAACAAACAACAACTTCTCAACACCCTCCTCACGCAGAACCCAGGATTCCTGGGACCTTCCCAAACCAACCTATCCAATAACACAAAATATCCCGGCAAAGCAACCTAACAGCGATGTGTATAAGCATATTTGGAAGCATTCCCCTTAAGATTCAGGTGGGAATCCAGTTGTAGAATTTTGTTGTTTTCGCAGTCGCAGTCGCATTCGCAATGCCAATCGCAGTGGTAACGGCTTTAGGACCCAATGGAATCCTAAGGATTCCTAGGGATTCCTAAGGCATCCTTCGGAATCCATAGGAGTCATTAGGCAAACTCAGGGATCCTTAGGAATCCTGATTCCTAGGGATTCCTAGGGATTCGCAAGGATTCCTAGGGAATCCTAAGGATTCCGAAGAATTCGCCTGCCTCGGCCTCAGCCTCAGCCTGCCTCAGCCGCAGCTTGCCTCAGCCTCAGCCACAGCCTCAGCCTCAGCCTCAGCCTGCCTCAGCTTCAGTCTCAGCCTCAGCCTGCCTCGGCTTGCTTCAGCCTCAGCCTCAGCCTGCCTCGGCCTCAGCCTCAGCCTCAGCCTGCCTCAGCCTCAGCGTCAGCCTCTCAGCCTCAGACTGCATCGACCTCAGCCTCCGCCTCAGCCTGGCTCAGCCTCAGCCTCAGCCTGCCTCAGCCTCAGCCTGCCTCAGCCTCAGCCTCAGCCTGCCTCAGCCTCAGTGTCAGCCTCTCAGCCTCAGCCACTGCCTCAGCCTCAGCCTCAGCCTGCCTCAACTTTAGCCTCAGCCTCAGCCTCAGCCTGCCTCGGCTTGCCTCAGCCTCAGCCTCAGCCTGCCTCGACCTCAGCCTCAGCCTCAGCCTCAGCCTCAGCCTCAGCGTCAGACTCTCAGCCTCAGCCTGCCTCGACCTCAGCCTCAGTCTCAGCCTGACTCAGCCTCGGTCTCGGTCTCAGCCTCAGCCTCAGCCTGCCTCAGCCTCCTGAGCCTGCCTCGGCCTCAGCCTCAGCCTGCCTCAGCCTCAGCCTGCCTCAGCCTCAGCCTCAGCCTGCCTCGACCTCAGCCTCAGCCTCAGCCTGCCTCAGCCTCAGCGTCAGCCTCTCGGCCTCAGCCTGCATCAGCCTCTGCCTCAGTCTCAGCCTGACTCAGCCTCGGTCTCAGCCTCAGCCTCAGCCTCAGCCTGCCTCAGCCTCCTGAGCCTGCCTCAGCCTCAGCTTCAGCCTGCCTCAGCATCAGCCTCAGCCTCAGCCTAAGCCTGCCTCGGCTTGCCTCGGCCTCAGCCTCAGCCTGCCCCAGCCTCAGCCTCAGCCTGCCTCAGCCTCGGCCTCAGCCTGCCTCAGCCTCAGCCTGCATCAGCGTCAGCCTCAGCCTGCCTCAGCCGCAGCTTGCCTCAGCCGCAGCCACTGCCTCAGCCTCAGCCTCAGTCTCAGCTTCAGCCTCAGCCTCAGCCTGCCTCGGCTTGCCTCAGCCTCAGCCTCAGCCTGCCTCGGCCTCAGCATGCCTCAGCCTCAGCCTGCCTCAGCCTCAGCGTCAGCCTCTCAGCCTCAGCGCGCACCAGCCTCAGCCTCAGCCGCAGCCTGCCTCAGCCTCAGCCTGCCTCAGCCTCAGCCTCAGCCGGCCTCGGCGTGCCTCAGCCTCAGCCTCAGCCTCAGCCTGCCCCTGCCTCAGCCTGCCTCGGCTTCATCCTGCCTCAGCTCGGGCAGTCAAAATATGGCACAGGATTGGTGTTCTGTGAACACGAAGATCACGAAGTGGCCCACAGATGGCTCCGGGCAAACAAAATATGGCACAGGAATTGTGTTCCGGGAACACGAAGAACACGAAGTGGCCTACAGTTGGCTCTGGGCATTCAAAATGTTGCCTGGGAATTGTGTTCTGGGAGCGCGAAAATCACGAAGTGGCCTGCAGTTGGCTCCGGGCATTCAAAATGTTGCCTGGGACTGGTGTCTTGGTAGGACGAAGAACACGAAGTTGCCTGCAGTTGGCTCCGGGCATTCAAACTGTGGCCAGGGAGTGGTGTTCTGGGAACACGAAGAACACGCAGTGGCCTACAGTTGGCTCCGGGCATTCAAAGTGTGGCCTGGGAGTGGTGTTCTGGGAACACGAAGAACACGAAATGGCCTACAGTTGGCTCTGGGCATTCCAAATGTGGCCTGGGAGTGGTGTTGTGGGAATGGATTCCTAAGGATTCGTTAGAATTCCTAAGGATTCCTGAGGATGCCTGTGGCTGCCGGATCTGTCCGGATCCCGCCGAGACCCCCTTGGGGCGTCAAGATGCGTTCTTTTGATCCCATTAGAAACCTTTCAGCAAAAGCTGTTAGGCAATTTTCACGGAGAGCCCAGGATTCCTGGAACCTTCCAGAACACCTTTCAAAAACCGTCCGCGCGAAGAACCCAAGATTTCTGGAACCTTCCAAAACACCGTCCAAACGCCCTCGTCACGAAAAAGCTCGGATTCTTGGAACTTTCTCAAACACAAACCTTCCAGACACCCCCCCCGCGAAGAATCCGGGATTCATGGAACCTTCCAAAAAAAGACCCAACAATTTTCCTCGCGAAGAATCCAGGATTCCCAGTCTCAAACAAAACGCGCCCAACAACCTTCCTCGCGACGAATCTAGGATTTCTGGAACCTGCCAAAAAACTTCCCAGAAGGATTCCCATTGAAAGCCTCTACACAAGGATTATTATTAGAAGCCTCTACAAAACATATTCCTATTGAGAGCTTGTACAAAAGGCTTCCGGTTGAAAGCCTCTACAAAAATATTTCGAGTGAGAGTTTGTGCGCAAGGATTCCTATTGCAAGCTTCCACGCGCGGATTTTGATTGAAATCGTTTGCACAAATATTCCCATTGAGAGTCTCTACAAAAGGAGTCCAGTTGTAAATATTTTACAAATGATTCTTAGTGAGAGCCTCTACAGAAGGATTATCATCAAATTCTTGACAAAAGGTCTCATATTGCAGCCTCTACACAGGGATTCCTATTGGAAGCCATTGCACAAGGATTCCTACTGAGAGTCTCTACGAAAGTATTCTGATTGAAAGCCAATGCAAAGGTGAAAGCCAATGCAAACGGATTCCGAGTGAGAGCCTCCACAAAAGGATCCCCATTGAGAGCATCTACGAAAGGATTATTATTGAGAGCCTCTACAAAATGATTCCTAGTGAGAGCCTGTGCGCAAGGATTCCTTTTGAGAGTCTCTACAACAGGATTCCGTTTGAAAGCCTCTGCAAAAAGGACTTCTTACAAACAGTAAACCCTCCAAAAACCGTCCGCACGAATAGCCCCAAATTCCAGAAACCTTCCAACGCATTTTCCAAGCGTGACCATCCTTGCGAAGAACCCAGGATTCCTCGATCGTTCCCCCAAGAAAGAAATTCCAGACACCGCCCTCACGGAGAATTCCGGATGCCTGGGACCTTCCCCCAAAGAAGAAACATTCCAAACACCCTCCTCGCGAAGAATCAAGGATTCCTGGACATTTCCAACACACCTGCCAAACCCTGCTCACGAATAAGCCAAGATTCCTGGAACCTCTCAACCAACCTTTGCGAACACCCTCCTCACGAAGAAGCCGGGATTCCTGGAACCTTCGAAGCAAACTTCGAAGGAAACCCTCCTCACCAAGGATCCAGGATTCTTGGAACCGTTCAACAAACCATCCAAAAAACCTTCCTCACGAAGAGTCCAGGATTCCTGGAACCTTCCCAGACAACCTTTCAAAACCCCTCCTCATGAAGAATTCAGGATTCCTGGAACCTTCCAAACAACCTCCCAAGAACCCTCCTCGCGAAGAATCCAGGATTCGTGGAACCTTCCAAAAAAAACCGTCCAATGAACCCTCTTCACGAAGAATCCAGGATTCCTGGAACCTTCCAAGAAACCTCCCAAAAACCTTAGGGCGAAAAGTCCAGGATTCCTGGAACCTTCAAAATAAACTTGCCACAAGCGCTCGTCGCAAAGGTGTTTGGAAGGTTTTTGAGCCAACCCCTCCCGGATTGTTCTGGACGAAGGTTTTTGGAAGGTTTCGTCGGAAGGTTTTTTGGATGGTTGTTGGGATTGTTTTTGATGGAAGGTTTTTGTTTGCAGGTTTCCGGTCGTTCTTTAGAAGGTTTTGTTGGAAGGTTTTTGGAAGGTGTTTGGAAGTTGTTTTGGAAGGCTTTTGTAAGGTTGTTCGAATGTATTGGGCGTATATATATGTATATATATGTATATATATATACATGTATGTATGTATGTATGTATGTATGTATGTATGTATGTATGTATGTATGTATGTATGTATGTATGTATGTATGTATGTATGTATGTATGTATGTAGGTGTGTGTATGTATGTATGTATGTATGTATGTATGTATGTATATATATATATGTATGTGTGTGCATATCTCTAAATATTGGAAGTTTGTTGGATGGTTTTTGGAAGGTTTTTGTATGGTGTTCGGACAGTTGTTTGGAAGGTAAGGTTTCTGGAAGTTCTTGTTTGAAGGATTCTCGGGGAGATTTTAGGACAACCTTACAAACACCTTCCTCGCCCCCCCCTGGGGAAAACCTTGTAAAAAATCATCCAAAAAACCTCCCTCACGAAGAATCCAGGAGGGGTTCGTCGGAACTCCCGCGCCGGTCTCCCGCCCAGGGTCGTTCAGATTCGCTATCGGGGGCCCATCGTTGATCTATCTTCGACGCGTCGCCGATTCAAGCTCGATGTTCCCTCCCTGAGCCGCCCCCCATGGCGTTGTAGCCCCTTGCGGCTTTTTTGTATCCGCGGAGGCCGAGGGGGAGAAGTTCCCAGGGGTGTTCGCCGCCTTCCTGGCCGGCGGCGGCGTGTCCGTGTTGGGCAGCGCGAGAGGGCTGCTCCAGGGACGCCCGTCGCCCCGCGGCGAGGAGAAGGAGGAGGAGAAGGAGGAGGGGGGTGAGGAAGTCGATGATGATAATGATGATGATGATGATGATGATGATGATGATGATGATGATGATGATGACGATGCTGACGAGGATGATGATGCTGATGCTGCTGGTGACGATGCTGACGAGGATGATGATGATGATGATGATGATGATGATGATGATGATGATGATGATGATGATGATGATGATGATGATGATGATACGGATACGGATGCGGATGCGGATGCGGATGAGGATGAGGATGAGGATGACGATGATTATGCTGATACTGATTATCATGATGTTGATGATTATGATGATGCTGCCGATAGTGATGCAGAATATGAGTATGATGATTGTGATTATGATTATGCTGTTGCTGCTGATGATGATGCTGCTGATGATGCTTATGATGCTGCTGCTGGTGATGATGATGATGATGATGATGCGGCTGCTGCTGATAACGATGCTGCTGCTGATGATGATGCTGATGATGATGGTGGTGATAATGATGATGGTGATGCTGATGATGATGGTTCTGATGATGCTGATTACGATGCTGATGATGATGCTTATGCTGCTGATGATGATGATGATGCTGACGATGATGATGATACTGATGATGATGCTGCTGATGGTGATTACTATGCTGAATATGATGATGATGCTGACGATGGTGGTGCTGGTGATGCTGATGGTGATGGTGATGATGATGATGACGATGAGGATGATGCTGATGACGATGGCGATGCTGACGATGATGCTGGTGATACGGATGACGGATGAGGAGGAATACGAATGTTAACAGACAGCATAATACATCGGATAACAAGACGAATGCTACGAATAACAATGATAACATTAACACGAATCAACATACTACGAATAGTAATAATAACAATAATAATACTAATCATAATAGTAATACTAATATTAGTAATATTACTTCTATTCTTATTTGAATATAAAAAGTACACATTCTAATACATAATTTTACTGTTATACATTCTAAGAAAATATCAGAAGACGAGGAGGAAGAGGAGGAGGAGGCGGAGGCGGAGGCGGAGGAGGAGGAGGAGGAGCAAGAGGAGGAGGAGGAGGAGGAGGAAGAGGAGCAGGAGGAGGAGGCCTAGGAGAAGGAGGAGCAGGAAGAACGTGGTGCTTGTGGAGGTCGCGGGCCTTGCGTCGGCGCGCTGCCCCGGCCAGCCTTTTTTTCTGGTCCAGGAGGCCCCGTTGGCAGGATTCTGCAGCTGCAGGCAGAGATCGGCCGAGCTTCCCTCTTTTGTCAGCTGCATTCTGTGTAAATCGACGCAGTTCTGTCGAAGTCCACCGCCTTTCACACAGAAGATGCACATGTGTCGCAGCGCCGTGGTTGTCTCCTTCGTGCTCTTCAGAGCTCCTCATTCAGTTGCACGCCCCGTGGCAGACACCGCGGCCCCACTGTTTTAAGAGCGCGGCTGCGTGGACGCAGATGTGGGAAGACGTGAATCCTGCAACCGGACGTGGCGAGGTTCGCTATAGAGAGTAGTTGACGATCTGAACAACACTGGGTCACAGAGAGGCGAAGACGGTCGAGTAAGGCGCGAGCGCTTACCAGGAACCTGCTCATGGGCTCCTTATTGAGGCCGCAGGGCGGGAGTCACGGCAGGCCCTCCTGAGGGGCAGCTTGCACGTGGATGTTGCGTGTATTGGGTGTTAGGGGTATTGCCTCGATGAGGGTCGATACCAATCGTTCCAATGTTTCTTGGGGCCATGTAGGCGTACCGTGGGGGGTCGGACTGCCTTTTGGGCGTCCATGGATCTCTCGTCTTTAGTTGTCCCCAGAGCCTGACAGAGCAGATCACTCGAATTTCCATGTGCCCCAGTAACATGTGGGGTCTGTCATTCACGAGGGGTGCCTAGAGTTGAGTCCTTCGTGGCCTTCGAAGCATAGATCGCTCTCATTTTCTCGTGTCCCAGGAGGGCATGGGGCAGGAAGTGCGTGATGTGTATGCCGGATTGGGGCTTTCGCTGCCCTGGGGGGGCTTAATTCTTTCGTATTCATGCGCTGTCCAAGACTGTACGGGACAGGGAATGCGTGAGGGGTGTGCCAGACCGAGGCTTTCGTAGCCGCGGGGGCCCAGACCATTCGTATTTTTGCGTGCCCCTGGAGCTGTCACGCACAGGGGCACTAGCATTTTGTACGCGGCTGCGGAGAATCGATAAACTTTAGCATCGTCCAAACATCTTCGAGACGTATTCGGAACATCATCGGCCAGCGGAACCTATCTGGGCAAGAACGGGAAGCGCCGCTTTGTCCACAGGGCTTGTCAGATAATGTCTGATTGAGCACACTGAGGATCTCCGCGCTGGCGTGCCGCGCTCGTCTGCCGTGCTGGTCTGCCGCGCTGGCCCTCCCTCCTCCCCATCCTTCTCCTCCTCCGAGCTTAGTGGTTGCCAGCGGTTGCTCTGGTTACTCGTTACTTCTCGGAGCCTCTCCGAGCTTAGTGGTTGCCTGTGGTTGCTTCTCCATAGTTAGTGGTTGCCTCTCCCAGCTAAGTAGTTGCCTGTGGTTGCTCTGGTCACTTCTCCGAGCTTCTCAGAACTTGGTGGTTGCCTGCGGTTGCTTGTCCAAGCTTAGCGGTTGCTTCTCCGGTGACGGTGACAGTGACGATGAGCATTTTTGGGCAGTGTGAAGGGCAGTCTTGAGACATGAAGTGCGCGTGCGGGACGCGTTCTGTCAAGGACAGGCGGGCGAGAGTTTCATGTTCAACGAAAAGCGTCTCAAACATACGATGTCATTGCGTGGCGTGCGTGCGTGACGAAGGAGGAAGATAATGAAGAGGAGGAGGAGAAGGAGGAGGAGGAGTAAACGGAGAGACGAGGAGAAGGAGGCGGATGGCGAAGGAAACGGAGGAGAGACGGAGGAGACCTCAGAGGCGGCGACCTCGGAGACGGATGAGACCTCAGAGACGGAGGAGACAACATGTCCCGAGCGGGAGCCCCATGTTTGACAAAGTAAGCCTTATTTTCACAGCTTCAGCATCTCACTCTTTCGAGGATGTCTCAGGCGAAACGAGACAGGACCGTGTTCCGAAGGTGTCTCTAGCGAGAACCCCATGTTTAACGAGACACGTCTTAATCAAACAGCTTCCACATCTAACGTTTCGAGGATATATCGAGCGAGAGCCTCATGTTTAACAAACGACGTCTCAACTACATGGCTTCAAAATCTCACTTGTTCGAGGATGTCTCAGGCGAAATTGCCATTTTGAGCAGAACCCGCCAACGTATCAACATTTACAATCGGGAGTCAGTTGTCCCTCGCGAGTTTGTTCTTTCTTCATACCCCACTTAGGAATGCTAGAAAACTTCCATCACCGTCTCGTTCCGAGAGGGCGCTTCCCGTCATCCGCGAACCCTCTGTGAGCTTGCCTTTTGCATGCTTCTCGCACTCCTCCGTAATCATCCATCTCATCCTCTTGTCTCCACGGCTAACACGTCTAGGGCCCGCAGGGGGCCCGTTGAATTGAGCCCACGGAGCGGCAGTCATGGCGGCCCCACAGGGGGAAGCTTGAACGCAGATGTTGCAACCTGTGGGTGTTTGGGATGGAATGCTGCTTACACGAGGGTCGGTTCCAATCGTTGCACTGTTTCTTTGGGGCGTATTTTCGCCCCTTGGGGGTTACGCTGTCTTGGAGGCCAGCTATTGGCCTCTCGGGGTCCATGGGGCATGGTGTGCGTGAGGGGTGTGCCGAATTGAGGCTCTAAGGAGCCGTCTCGGGGGTCAGCTGAGCGGCCTGCATGCGCGAAGTGTGTGAGGGGTGTGCCGAATCAACATTTATTAGTATTTTATGCCCCCCCCAGGAACCTCGAGGCCGACAGCACTCTGTTGTAGTCGTGTCCCATGGGCCTGAGAGCGCATACCATTCGTATTTTCATGTGCCCAAGTAGAGTGTGGGGCAGGGCATCCATGCGGGGTGCCTGGAATTGAGCCCCCCCCCCGTGTCCCGCGAAGCGTAGATCGTTTGTGTTCCCACGTGTCCCAATAGAGTGTGGACCAGGCGCTGCATGAGTGCATGAGGGGTGTACCAACAGGTCCGTATCGTAGCCATGGAGGCGTTACCCGCTCGTACTTCTACGCGTCGTGCAGCAACAACGTCAGGCAAGGGGCTTACGAGGGTTGCACTAGGACGAGGCTGTCGCGGCCCTGGGGGCACATCTGTTTATGTTTTTTACGTGGCCCACGGGCTGTCACGCGCGTGGGCTTCGTGTTGGGAGCACGTTTCGTTAGTATCTGTTCGTGCCCCCAGGAGAACTGGGGGGAGTCGGCTGGCGGACGGCGCGGCATTTCATTTGGATTTTGCCATGTTTCCAGGTGGCTCGTGGCCTCATCGAAGCATTTTCGAACCATCGTCGGGGCATCACCAGCCAGCGGAATCCGCGAAGTCCCCCTCGGCATACCTTATGTACACCATCCCTATAGCATCCCCCATCTCATCATTTACCCTCGACGGCTAACACGGCGAGGGCCTGCAGCGGCCACACCGTATTCAATTGAACGCCCTTGAGGGGGCAGACGCCGTTGCCCCGTCATGTTTATTCGCCAAATTCGTGGGATGGTGGGGGGGAGGCGGCGCTAGACAGGATATCGGGGTCTTCTTCGGGCTCTGTTGGGGCGTCTCGGGCCCCTCTTAGGGCCTTCTTGTGGGTCTCTTGGGCTCTTCGTGGGAGTTCTAGGGGGCATCTTGGGATCATGCTGCAGAACATCTTTCAGAGGTATTGGTGAACGATGGGAACTGGAGGGTGGAAACTCAGGCTCCTGGAAGGGCCTCCCAGGCTCGCTGGGGACACCCCAAACGGCCGAACAATGCGCCAAGAAGGCGCACAGACGGCCGAGGAGGGCCCCGAGAGACTGTGGGGACGGCGCCAAGAACATCCGCATGTTCCAAGGTAGCCGCAAAAGCCCGTGGAGATTCATGGCGCTCGAAGAGA